CTGAACTGAATATTAGGAAATCGTCTTAGTATGATTTAATTTTGGATTCCTGTATTTTGAGCTATGAGTTGGGCTCAGTGATCTAAGTGGCCCTTTTCAATTCTAGGATTCAATGGAAAAGTGTGGAGCAGGAGCTGGCTGGAGTGACTTCCTCAACCTTGCATTTCCCCGAAATCTTGGATCACAACTTTCAAGATTTTTAAACAATACAAATCTATGACATCTGGACAAAAATTCTAATTATAATTCAACGTATGTGATCCAGATTGGGAACAGGTAACTTATATTATGGAGCCCCAAATTGGTTAACCCTCACTGATCCGCAAAAGCGCTGGGTGAATGCCGCATAATCACTGTCTTTCAATCTTGCAGCATAGGTGTGAGATAAAAATATCGGGGAAACATGAAAACTCCCCGACGCTCCTTTTTTTTTGGGGGGGGGCAGGGGGGAGCCCTATACAATTTTAAAAAGCGCGCATGCTTTCGCAAGCAACAGGGGCTGCAAATGCAACTCTTTCCGTCCATCACTGGGGGGGAGGGGAAACTGAACTAAGTAGAAAATGAAGTTCGTGGGCTTATCAGAACCATTCCGAATTTCCGGGTCGGCGGCCGCGGCTGCCGTGTTAAGGCACATCGCATCCTCACGACTCCAATTCGCTGCCGAAAAAACAGTGCTGGGATTAGTTTTCGCCCGCCCTCGCTTCACTTCATTTCCATGGCGACAGGCGGAGGAAGTAAACGAGACTTGAAGCTAACTCCGAGTTCCCAGGCGCCGCCATCGATTGAGACGCCAAGAACTCCGCGAGAAATCCTCCAGGCATATCTGGGCAAGTCACGGACAAGGGAGGCGGAGGGGGGGAGCTTCACAGGAGGGAGGTTGAATCACGGTCGTTTGTCATTCTTAGGGAACCGAGAAGGGAGACCTACTGCAAGCGACCTTAGGCGGAGCTGGGAAATTCTGTGGTAAATCTCGGATTGTAACACCAATGCTTCCCAAACTTGGGTAAATTACCCCGAACTGGGCAGAATGGTTTCCTTTTGAATAATGACACACGAACCCATTACTGTATCACAACAGGGACATTTTAAATAAGGACTTTCTGACCAGCGATTTGTGGTAACGAAGGAAAGCACTGCTGGGGAAGAGAAGAGAAGAGAAGAGAAGAGAAGAGAATTAGATAGAATTCTTTATTGGCCAAGTGTGATATACACACACAAACCCGACATTTACAGACAATGCACCTTTTTTTCCCAGGAAGAAAAAAAAAATGTTTCCTGGCATTCCCTTTCTACACAATGGTTAAAGGTGCTGGATGTTTGCTGAAGGTTTTTTCGTGTGTTTTGGTACATCTGTGTTGGCAACGTTATTCATCGCTGAATTTTGATTTCTGGATATTTGCAAAGAAAACTGGGGAATTTATTACCATTTATGATGGTTGGTTGCTGTGTTGAGATAAAGTTGAAGAGAAGCTGGGAGGATGAGGTGAAAAGACCTTCCTTTTTCCAGGATATGGATTATCATAACTTAGTCGTGGATTGAAGTTTTAAGAGATGCCCCTTTACCTTTGCTGTCTGCTACAGATTAGCAGAGCCTCCCTTCCACAAATGATTGCCTATACTGTGGTTTTAAGGCATCTGAGCACTGCTTGGACTGCACTGCACAGTTGCATCCAGCTTTTTGGCCCGTCTGCCATTCAGGGCTCAGCCAGAAGCCCTCTGCTTTGCTTTATCTCCCCTCCCCTCATTATCAGATTGATTCACATGCACTTTTGCACTTATTGAGATACAATGCAGTAGGAAAGCTCTATGGCACATATCAGCGTTCAGTCTAAAGTTTGTTTCAAATTATTTCACCTTTGTTAACATTGAAAATTTCTCCTTCCCCCACCACCCACCCTCCCTCCCTCCCTCTCTCTCTTATTCACGCACACACACACACACACAATCTCATCTCACTTGTGTCCTCATGCAGCCTTCATAGGCTGTCCAAAATAAATAACAGATAACAGATCATCAGAATTGGAAGGGGTAGGTCATCTAGTCTAACCCCTGCCCAAGCGGGAGACCCTACACCATTTCTGACAAATGGCAGTCCAATCTCTTCTTGAAAATCTCAAGTGATGGCGCTCCCACAACTTCTGAGGGCAAGCTGTTCCATTGGTTGATTGTTCTCACTGTCAGAAAGTTTCTCCTTGTTTCCAGGTTAAATCTCTCCTTGTTCAGTTTCCATCCATTATTCCTTGTCTGGCCTACAGGCACTTTAGAAAATAGATTGACCCCTTCCTCCCTGTGGCAGCCCCTCAAATATTGGAAGACCGCTATCATGTCTCCCCTGGTCCTTCTCTTCACTAGACTAGCCAAGCCCAGTTCCTGCAACCGTTCGTTGTATGTTTTAGCCTCCAGTCCCCTAATCATCCTGGTTGCTCTTCTCTGTACTTTTTCTAGAGTCTCAACATCTTTTTTATAATGTGGTGACCAAAACTGGATGCAGTACTCTAGGTGTGGTCTTACTAAGGCTTTATAGAGTGGTATTAGCACTTCCCTTGATCTTGATTGTATCTCTCTGTTAATACAATTTAGGATTGCATTGGCTTTTTTGGCTTCTGCTGCACATTGCTGGCTCATATTTAGCTGGTTGTCCAAGGTCCCTCTCACAGTTACTGCTATTGAGCCTGGTTTCACCCAGTCTATATGTGCACTTTTGGTTTTTCTTGCCTAAGTGTAGGACTTTTCTCTACATTGAATTTCATTTTGTTAGATACGGCCCAGTGTTATAGTCTGTCAAGATCCACCTGGATCTTGAGCCTATCTTCCTGGGTGTTAGCTATTCCTGCCAGCTTAATATCATCTGCAAATTTGGTAAGTTCCCCTTCTATTCCCTCATCTAAGTCATTAATGAAGATATTGAAGAGTACTGGGCTTAAGACAGAACCTTGTGGCACCCCACTGCTTACTTCCCTCCATGTAGACTTAGACCCATTAAGGACTGCTCGTTGACTATAGTGTGCCAGCCAGTTGCAAATCCATCTAGTGGTGGTGCTATCTATTCCACTTTTTTCTAGATTACTAAGAAGTAGGTTGTGGTCTATTTTGTCGAATGCCTAGCTGAAATCTAAATATACTATGTCCACAGTATTTTGCTGGTCTACTAATTTAGTCACTGTGTTGAAGAATGAAATAAGATTGGTTTGGCATGATCTGTTCTTCACAAACCCGTGCTGACTTCTAGTTATTACTTTACTTGTTTCTAGATGTTGGCAGATCTGTTTTTTTATTATCTTTTCCAGTATCTTCCCTGGTATTGATGTTAGGCTGATTGGTCTATAATTTCCTGGGTCTGGGTTTTTTTCCCCTTTTTTGAAGATGGGAACCACATCAGCTCTTTTCCAGTCCTCTGGTAGTTCCCCGGTGCTCCAGGATTTTTGAAAGATATGGTGCAGTGGTTCTGAGATGACCTCTGCCAGCTCCTTTAAAACTCTGGGATGTAATCCATCAGGCCCCGGTGATTTGTTTTCATCAGGATCAGACAGGTGTTCTCTTACTATTTTTTTTGCTTATTTTAACTTTTATTTCTGGTCTGTCTTTTACAGGTATGTTTTTGGTGGGTTGAGCTATAGTTTGTTTTGCACGAAGACGGATGCAAAGAATAAGTTAAACAGTTCTGCTTTCTCTCTATTGCCTGTTACTTCCTTGCCATCTTTAGCAGACCAACTGTTTCCTTGATTTTTTTTTTCTTGTTATTTATATGTTGGAAGAAACTTTTTTTATTATCTTTGACTTTTGTTGCAAGTCTTTGTTCATTCTGAGTCTTTGCTACCCTGACTTCGTCTTTGCAGATTCTGTCTATCTGCTGATATTCTGCCTTAGTTGTATGTCCTTCTTTCCATTTTTTGTACTTGTCCTTTTTTTTTCTTTCAATTTGCCAGAGAGATCTTTGTGCAGCCATGCTGGTTTCTTCTTGGATTTCTTGTTTTTCTTTCTCAGTGGTATTGTGCTGGTCTGGACTTCTATGATCATACTTTTTAGAGTTTCCCAAGATTCTTGAGTTGTTTTCCCCTTCAGGATTTTCATCCATGGAATCTTTCCCAAGTTCTCTCTGAGTTTATTGAAATCAGCTCTTTTAAAATTCAAGACTCTGGTGTCATTATGTTCTGTTGCCTGTGTTTGTGTTATGCTGAATTCAAGTATGACATGGTCACTCTCACCCAAGGTTCCTGCAGTTTCAATTCCCTCTATCACTTCTCTGTCTGTAAGAATTAAGTCCAGTATGGCTGTCCCTCTAGTTTCACTTTCTACTTTTTGGACAACAAAGTTGTCAGCTAGGTTGGTTAGGAACTTATTTGATTTCTCACTTGGTGCAGAATTAGTTTTCCAACTGATATCAGGATAATTAAAGTCTCCCATTACTATTGTTGTGTGTTTCCTGCATATGTTTGTTAGTTGGCTGGCAAAAAGTACATCTATTTTTTCTGCTTGATTGGGTGGCCTATAATATACACCTATGGCCATGTCATTCTTTTTTTCTTTTATATTGATCCATATGCATTCTAGGAGGTTTTCATCTTTGGTTTCATGCATTTCTGTAGCAATATAGTGGTCCTTTACATACAGTGCAACTCCACCTCCTCTTTTATGGGGTCTGGTTTTTTTTTTTTTTTGAATAGTTTGTATCCTTCTACCAATATATTCCAGTCATGGGTTTCATCCCACAAGTTTCTGTTATTCCAACTATATCATATTTACCTTCATATATTCGTAGTTCAAGTTCATCCTGTTTATTCCCCAGACTTTGTGCATTTGTATATAGGCACTTGAGATCTCTTCCATTCATCATTCTACCTACCGGTAAATTAAACTCAGCTCTAACTTTGAAAGGAGCATGGCTGCTGATCTGGAAAACATGAGACTGATGCATTAAACAATATCCCAGGGTGAATGTGCATGTGTGACCACATTCTAATGCCTGTTCTTTATACTATTCTTCATTCCACCTATAGACAATGGCTATGCAAGAGCACCTGCGAATAAAGGAACGTCACCGCTGTTCAATAACAGCTCTTGGCTACCATTCAGCTCGACGGGAATGTCTCACTGGGTTTGAAGGTGAGTCCATGCTGGGAAGGAACATTTTTCTGGGGTGCTAAGACGCTGAGCTTGTCGATCAGAGAGGTCGGCAGTTCGGCAGTTCAAATCCCTAGAGGCGTGTAATGGAGTGAGCTTCCAGTACTTGTCCCAGCTTCTGCCAGTTTGAAAGCATGTAAAAATGCAAGTAGAAAAATAGGGCCTATTTGGTGGGAAGGTAACAGCGTTCCGTGCGCCTTCGGCGTTTAGTCATGCCAGCCACATAACTATGGAGAAGTCTTCGGACAGAAATGGCTCTTCAGCTTTGTGACAGAGATGAGCACCACCCCCTAGAGCCGGAAACAACTAGCATGTATGTGTGAGGAAACCTTTACCTTTAAATATTTGCCTCTAGCTCCACTCCTGGGCCAGTTTCCTGCGTCTGTCATGCTATGGCCAATTGGGCCTGAATGGCAGATAATAACTTCAGCATAACAGGTCTAATTTCTGTTACAACAAAGAAGAGAACAAAATTTAACTTTCTGTATGTACCAAGAGACTGCTTTCCTGTTCCATCTATGCATATAGATGGGATAAATATTTATAAGTCTATATAAATAAAAATCCCAGGTTCTTCCTGAAGTGAATTCCTGTCCACATAAGTGGCATGTCACCTTTGTTACTCTGATAGATGGAGTGATCAAATGGTGGGACATGGGAAGTGGGCACATGACCTTGTGCTCCAAAGAACATGCTGGCTGGATCACCCACTTCCTTTCCTGGATACAGGCACGGCTCCTCTTCTCTGCCTCCAATGACAGCTCTGTGCTGGTTTGGGCTCCAGGTGGTACAGTGCTTGACCGTATTCTGGTAAGAGTGGCACCTCATGACACCTTGGGACTAGGAATCCAATCATAACAAGCTCAGTAATACGTTTTCTGAAATCACAAGCTATTGTACAGAATTGGTTGCAGGAGTTTAAGAGCTTTCCCCAACCTCGTGCTCCCCAATGATCTAGTCACCTTGTATTCACCATGCACTGCAAACTCCAATAATCCTCAGCTCATGAAAACATAGTGTCGTAAGGTTATAGAATGATTATGTCAGGCACTTGCTATTCAAGGGTATCTCAGCCTTGAGAATGATACCCTGGGGATTCTGGGACATTAAAGTCATCTTGGAAATCTGCCTTGGAAGCATTTAGAAGCCATTTAGGATTATAAGAACTTTTTTTAAAAAAAATCTCTGAGCTGTTCTTTTAACAAGAGTGGACTTGTCTGCCTGTGGACTCCAGTGTCCTACTGGTCAGTTTTTGAAAACTCCCAGGTCCTTCCACTGAGACTAACTGTGCTTAGATTGTGCTACGACAGTGATGCCTTTCTCAGTCTTTATGTCCTTTAGGTAAACCAGCCCCCCTTTTTTTTCTCTACAGTTGGGCTACCCCATCTTCACCTTGGCAATCAGCCTTACTCGGCATCTCCTTCTTTGTGGCAGCAAAGGACGCCTGACAGTCTTCCCCTTGGATGAAAAAAGAGAATCTGGGCACACAGTCAACATTACCCAAAGCTTTTCTGAATGGACTCACAAAGACATTGTGTCCTGCATCACCTGCCTTGACAATCACATTTATACTGCTGGGTGAGTTTGGAAGTGGAGGTAGTCTTCTCCCTGTAGGCAGGTCCAGAATATAAATGTTTCAGATGCCAATAATCAATTACTGCCATTGGTATACCTGTTTTAGACAATTTGGTGATCTCCAGATTTGTAAGATAGGACTCCCCCTCCAAAATTCCTATGACCACGTCAACAATCATATTGGCTGGAAATCATAGGACCATATATGTTGGAGAAGGTCAGATCGCTGCTTTGTCATTTGAAATGCGGTGTCCATTGTCACAAGAAGAGACTTATCAAAAGGACCCCAGAAGAGCTCGGCAAAAAAAAAATAATAGTCTTGTGGCTACTGGATTGCTCTGAAGGACAATTATGTGAATTACAGCACTTTTCTGAAAATAGAAGCCACATTTTGCCTGTAGCAATAAGGCTCCCTGGTATGTTTTGAGCCAGCTGCTGAAAGGTTTAAACAAAGCCTGCTGAATCCAAGTCCAACTTTGGTTGATCATTCCTCCTTACCTATTCCAGCTATGACAAAAAACTGCTGATCTTTGACACTTACCAGACCCTGGGCAGAAAAGGCCTGACAAAGAAGCAGTGTATTTCACGTGCCCACAATGCAGCCATCACCCATTTGATTCTGGTGCGCCAGCAAGAAACTACAAGGTATGAGCTAGATAAAGGACTGGTGTTTGGCATATGGCCTTTTTTTTTTTTGCATCTTTCTACATGTGCATATCAGTGGTGGGATTCAAAAAAATTTACTACCGGTTCTGTGGGCGTGGCTTTGTGGGTGTGGCCTGGCTTTGTGGGTGTGACCTGGCATGGCGGGCATGGCTTGGGCATGGCAGGGGAAGGTTACTGCAAAATCCCCATTTCCTCCCCACCCCACTAACCTGCTTTCCAGCTCCATTCTCCTGTGCAGAGCAACAAAAAAAGACCCAGCCGATCAGCTGGGACTCAGGAGGCAGAGAATAGATGGGGGCGGGGCCAGTCAGAAGTGGTATTTGCCGGTTCTCCAAACTACTCAAAATTTCCGCTACTGGTTCTCCAGAACTGGTCAGAACCTGCTGAATACCCACCCATCTCTGGTGCATATGCTTTTAGTGGGAACTTTGCCCCTGTTATTGGGAAGGTGCAGGCTGAAAGAGGTGCCTTTTCCTCTGAATTTGTTGTCATAATGGTTGGACTATAACAAATGAAAGAGGTAGAGGTTTGGGGAAGGAAGGTGTTTACCACAAAGAGGAACTGAACAATTCAGGGTTTAAGTAGAACTGCTGGCAAGGAGAAAAACAACTGAATGGTATAAATTGCTGATGGAAAAAGATTCTCCTTTGGTTCCAACATACTGGATATACAGCATTTGTTAAATGTGGGGTGTTAACCAGCTGCTTGAAAAATCCACTGGCCCCTCCATTCACTGTGATTTCCTGTTTTCTTGAAGCGTTGACCTGGTGAATTCTTTTGCAGGGTGCTTTCGGGCTCCTTTGACCAGACCGTTGGCATCTGGTCCCAGGATGGCAAGTTGATCCAGCGCCTCGGCCCCTTCAGCAGTAACATAACTGGACTGTGCTATGTAGCACCCATTGGCGTCATTTGGATTACTAGCGGCACTTCCCAGCCCACCCTTTATGAGCCGCAGTCTGGAGAAATAGTGAGTGACACAAGAGTATTTGATGCAATTCTGCCAATCAGCAGTAACTCAGGCTCTGTGATTATAAGGAGCCCTCTACTGGCAATGCTTGATATTACAGTTGATGGCGGGGGGGGGGGAGAATAAAGGCAGCTGTGGGTACTTCCCACACCATTTCACACCCTAAATCCTCAAAAACAGTCAAGGCAATCCATTATTGTCTTTACTTCTGTCACTGTGAAATGTGGGATAAAAAGGCAAATGTGCCTTGAGTTGAGCTTGAATCCTTGTCATTGTCGTCCACAGGATGGTTCCCCACCCCCACTTTACTACGCAGACCCTGGCCCACCCCAAGGACCTTCAGTCCTTCATGTTATCCATCCAAACCTTAAAATAAGTCCAGGGATATTTATTTTTTTTAAGTCACATTTTGTTTTATAAAAAATCAGGATTTCTGTTGTTGTTCTGCT